GTAGAATTAAGCACATACTTTTTCCATAAAAACGAATTTGTCAAGCAAAATAATTGGCGCCCGATCACTGGATCTCGTGTCATCATTAGTAATGAACACACGCCGGAAAGTCTTTCTCCAATAACTATGGCATTGCCCATTGGCGGTGCATGCCATCGCCTTATGGAGACAACCAAAACATGTTGAAAAAACGCATATCTAACTTTTGAAATAGCAAATCTTCATAATTCAGCCAGACGCCAAAGCTCCTACAATCATCATGAAAACTAGAAATATTATTAAACTCCCAAATCTAAATCGGGAGAAAAAAGCTCCTAAATCTAAAACTAAATTAGGAGAGTTCAAGCTCTCGAATTTAGAATTAGACTGTGAGAATAGAGCTTCCAAATTTAGATGGGAAGAGAAGGAAAAAAAAAGAACAAAAAAAACTTGAACAAAATCAATTGGAGGGGAGGGTGAGACTAGCTCAAACCCTCCCGCATGGCTGAAGCTTGAAGAAGACGATAGAGAGAGAAGAGAGAAAGAAAAACATTTCGGCTTCAACAATCAGTTTTATATATAATTGAGTTGTTTATTTGTAAACACTTTGGCTACGTTTGGTCGACCGGATAAAAGTCAGGATAGGATATGTTTTATCCTATCCTGTGTTTGGTGGTGGTCCAGGATAGGATAATGTCGGATATAGACCAGATATAGCCGAGATAAAAAAATCCAAGGGGGGGTGGGATAGACCTGGATAGGATTTCTAATGTCTATTTTTCCAGAAACCCTACTCTCCACTCGCCGTCATCTTCATCCCCACACCTTGTGTGCTTTCACCAAAAAAATTTCTCGGCTTTTTTTCCTTCACCGACTCCTCCGAACCCGTGAATAGCAAAAAAAAAAAAAATTATCCTATCCGACTTTAAATCCGTAGTCCACCAAACAGTGGATAGGATATGAAGAAATCCCAGGATTTCTTATCCTATCATATCCAGTCCTATCCTGTTTAGAAATCCGGACGACCAAAACGCAGCCTTTGGGTTTGGACTTAATCTAGGTATGGGATGGGAAACACCCGAACGTGTAAGAGATTATAACTTTGATTCTCAAATATAGTGGATTATTTATTGCGGCTTTCTCCGTGAATATAAGTACCAACACTCAGATCGAACCACGTAAATATTTAATATCATTTATTGTTTCTCGTTTATTTCTCCCTCTTTCTCATATTGACTTAAATTATAAGATCCTAATTAGTTTTCGCGTTCAAGTATCCTTGCTTCCAGACGATGCGCATTTCTTATCGAGTGACTTATAAGAGATATTGTGTCAGTACATCGCGTGATCTACCTTCCGTACTAGATTTTTTTTTTCAATTGATATCAGATTGGCTATTTTGTGGGGGTAGAAAAATTGCATATAGGCATTGAGAATTAGCCGGTGGCTGATAGATATATAATAGTGACGACTCATTCCACAGGGACCACACACATGACTAGGTGACAAGCCAATTTGGTCCCCTGAAAATGACCTCTCTATTCACTGAGTGATCTTCAAAAGCCACGCCGAATGAAATGGCATTGTAAGAAACCCCAAATCTATTATTTGACAAAAAATTCTTGACCGCACACCATTTTCTTCTACCCGGCTTTCGGAGATACCATTTACATGGCATAAGTCCTTTTATTGTTTCTACATCTTCTCAATTGATAAATAATACCTATTATTAACGTAACATGTGAAAGATGTTAGAGAAGTCACGTAGAGAATTTGGTCTATTGCTAGAGCAGATAATATAAAACTTAGTTGCTTCTAATTGACTCAAACTTTTAGTATGATTGTAACAATTGGATAGACCATGTTCAAACGAGCTACAACATATTTATCTAGTTGTAATATGCTAATATGAAAATTCATTAAAATCTTATAATTAGCCGAGAAGCGACCTGATTAATTAGTTGGTGAAAGAGGCCAATTGCATAAAGCTTAGGGATCATTGACGTGAGAGCACGCGGTACGTCTAGCTCGAGTGCTTCGGAAGGGTGTGGATGATTGGTCCCCGTGGCCTCGACTGTAAACTTGATAGCGGCATCGTAGGAGCCATTAATTCCATGCAAGTTGGGCTAGTCGTGGAGCCTCACATTTTTCTAATTCCATGCAAGTTGGGCTAGTCGCGGAGCCTCACATTTTTCTAATTCCATGCAAGTTGGGCTAGTCGTGGAGCCTCACATTTTTCTAATTCCATGCAAGTTGGGCTAGTCGCGGAGCCTCACATTTTTCTTTCTTGGGATGCAATCGATAGGGTGTCCCCATAGCCGTCTGCTATAAGATCTCCATCTGCATGCATGCGGATCACAAGTTACAGGAATCATAATTGGATTCCTATGTGGCATAAGAGCGTGTATAATTCATTCGACACATGAACCGCATCCACCGTCATTGACATGAGTAGTTCTAGTTTGAAACATTGATCAATAATCGAAGTCAACAATGATGGATACGGCTTCTCTAAAACAAGATTACGTCGGATGTGTATTTAATATTAGTTCCATTATAGTATCCAATGATATTTTGGTCGTTTAAAGTAACAAATTTCTTCTCGCGTCGTCTCGCCGCGCAATATGATGGAATCGAATGAGCTTCTTTCGCTTTCCTGGACAACAGGCGTTTGTCATCATCGATGCATAGTAACCAGAAAATACTTGACTATTTTGGGATGCATCCGCAACATCACTTTCGTGGGTAGCAAATTAAGGAATCTCGCATGATGCAGAGGGGTGCTACCCAGTTACGCGACTGCAGTGATGTCTCGTTCGTAGAGAGCCACATGATATTGACTATTGATGAGAAATCCTTAATTGGTACGATAAAATTGATTTATGTAATTGACTTAATGATAACTTGACGTGACAAATTATAGATAGAAACTTAAAATAGGTATATACGATGCTGGCCCAAGCAAATGATCAGAGAGAGCCATCAAAGAGAAATTTCATCGTTTTCTAAACTTTCGTGTAATCTATGACTATAATTGACTGCTTGTTGGGAGATTTGTTGTTTGAAGACCAATACCTATATTATCCTAAAGGTGCCATATTTTCGTCGATTTCAAATGGGACGAAACTTCATCTAACTAGTCTTCTACTTAGTGAGTTACCAATATGGACCGTGTTCATCAATTGTAATCCACCAATTAGAAGCATGGTTTAAGGAAAACCATGGACCGAGGAAAATATAGCGAATCCTAACCAACTTTTATATAAGATACCAGTGCGTCATACGAGTCTAAGATTGTATTTGTTATAGGGTTATGTCACAACCTAACCCTCAAAGGCCGTCTCAGGAGAATAGGCTTAGAGGTATTTTGTGGGACCCTGCCTCAGTCCATACCTCGCGTGACATTAGTTATTTAAATCTATGTATTCAATTTGGAGTCGCCACTAGCCGCAATTAAAGGTTGGCTAGAAACCCTAAAATCGAGACATGGGAGTATCATCTTAATGCATACGCAACTAAAGATTCTTAGGGATCCGAGACTTTTTTTTTTTTTAGGGATCCGAGACTTGATTACATAGTTTTTCAACTAATGCCATTTCGATACCTAAACTCGACTATTTGCTAACCAACGTGTCAGGGCAGTCTTTCACTAATCGAGAATTTTAAATTTCGTCCTAACCGTTCTAAAAGGGAAAAAAACAACAAACAATGTATTTAAGGTGCACAATCAAGTGAAATCAAAATAAAGGTGCACAAATAACGACCTAGCATCGTCTCTAAAAGAAAAAAAGCAGTCAAAAATCCCTAAAGTAAAGTCCTAAAGGCTTATTCAGTTTGGAATCAAATTTTGTTCAAACCTAAGGTGATCATTAAAAGTCCTAAACTAAGTGAATTCTACATTTTTCAGCTTTTCTCACATTTTTTTTCTGAATTTTCTGATTTTTTTATATTTTTATTATAGAGAAAGGGACTTCGGACTAGGTCAGGAAGCTCAGTCTAATTAGTCGGTCTGACCTGGACCCAGAAGGTTCAAGTTGAGTCTAAATTCGGACTGGCCCAATACTATATCAACCCACATCTTTCTCTATCTGGCCTAGCTTATTCCCTTAGCCCACAACATCTTTGGTTTAGCCCGGTTTGCAAGCTGATCCGGATCCATTAATCAGATTTGACTTGAATCTTTTATTTCCAGATTTTATTTCTCTTTTTTTCTATTTTCTATTTTCTTTTTCTTTTTCTTTTTCTTTTCTCTTTTATTCTTGTCTTCTTCTTCCCAAGACGTGTATTGAGAGAGCTTCTCCACCAAAACATCACCAGCACCGTCGGGAATCCATTACCACTGATTTTCTAACCCTCGCTGTCAGCCATCTATTCCGATCACCGCCGAACTTCTGTCGACGACAACTTACGGCGACCGCGTCCCTCATCACACACCGGCCACAAAAATAAACTCCGGCAGCCAAATTCCATTTTACGGCCAAGAAACTTCCGGCCACAACAACACATCCTAAATCTAAATAAACAAGCAATCACATGTATGAAACAGAGATAGAAAACTAACGGTAACGGCCTCAAACTGCGGGCACATCTCCGGCGAGGGGAATAAATCCAGCGAAAATTTCAACCATGGCCGACTCGAAGAAGCATTAATATGCCACAAAAATCACAAGGAAACGTAAAGTAGGGAGCGAATAATCATTTTAGAACAAATCAAGCATGAACTGTGATTCAACCAGACGTTTTCATTCACGGATTGATTCAACACTTCATTCACGCATTTCATCAAATAGCTAGCATGCAGTTTAAGAAGTACATTCCAACATGAGATTCAATGCAATTCTCAACTCAATTGTGATGCATAAAGACCTGAATCAACATATTTCATATCAACTTCATCTCAGTTAATCGAAACACACTCAAAATTTTTACAATCGAGTTTGGTGTTCTAAGCCTCCACCATCTCATTCAAGCATTTTAGCGAACAGTTGACTTACGATTTAAAACATGAATTCTAGACTCGGTTTTAGTGCAATTCTCGACTCAATGTTGATATATCACACTCCAAATCGTCATTACATTCTATGACTCAGCTTTAATATCACAGGATTTGTCCACAATCTCATCATTTCATTCCAATACTCTCAAACTCAATAAACGGCTAAAACAAACAGGACAAAACGAAGCATATTTGAGGAGCTCACCTGGACAGAAACGGAGATTCAATCGGCGACGGCAAATGGGACGTCCGGCTATGATTCCTCTTTCTCAATGAATGAACTGCTATTCCGACGTGATTTTGGATGAAAAGTGATGAAAATCGGCTTCAGAAAATTGGACTTCGGCAAGCGACCCGAACCTCCGGTATGCTCTCCTCACATACCTTTTCCTCCCCTCTCTTCCTTTCCGATCTTTTTCTCCCCCTTATTCGATTGAACTCCCTGACGCCAACTCTTTCTCTCCCGGTTTGTTATCCCCCGGCTCGTGGAATCTTTTTCTGTCATTTCCCCAACGATCAGCCAGCTCAATAGGTTCTAGAACATTTTTTTAGCTTGGATTTGCTCCCGTCACCTCTTGTGAGCCTCACGAACGCTGTTCATCATCATTGCTCACCGAAGTGAGCGTCGCCATCGCTCTGCTCACAGACGTGAGCGTGCTAGGGAAGAAGAAAGGCAACAGGCTGGGCTGGCATGGCTGTGGTAGGCCTTGAAGGAAAAGATTGGGCCCAAGGACAAAAGAGAGAAAAAGAAAAGAGAAAAATAGGGCCGAATTCGGCCCAAGCAAGGAAAGAAAGGAGGGCCAGACGGGCAGCGGGCCAAACGCGTGAATTGGGCCCAATTGGGCTGATTTGAACCAGAATGTTTGTTTATTTATTTATTTAAAAAATTTTGGATTTTTTTATATTTTTTTATTTGTTTTATTTTTGAAGATGAGGTGTCAACACGTTAATATCACGAAAAACCCCAAATTGGTACACTTGTGACAAATTTACCCAAAACTAATTTTTTGACAACCTAAAGCCTTAAATTGGTATACATGTGACAATTTTACCCTCCATTAGTTTCCACTAAATTTTACCCTCAAATTTCTGAGTTAGATGACACGTCGTAGTTGACGCGTGTACCATTTCGGGGTTTTACCCTCCGTTTGTCATAAGTGTACCCGTTTATGATTTTTCGAGATGTTAATCCAATTTAACGAAGGGCAAATTCGTCACAAATATACTAATTTGGAGTTTTTGGTAGTCAAAAAATTAGTTTGGGGTAAATTTATCACAGATGTACCAATTTGGGATTTTTCGTGATATTAACCCTTTGTTATATTGCTCGAAATGATGTAGTCAACGTGAACTTTCGCAAGAGAAATAATATGCATAAAATCATGATAGAAGAAAGATTCATATTAACTAAATTGTCCCTCAGAGTGTACGTCTAATTTTATTCAAAGTGGATTCAAATTCTATCATGTAGAGTTATCCTCCGATTTAAAGATAACATAAGTAGTGCAATATTTCGAGCCAGTGATATAATCTGAATTAGTAAAAATCGTGAAAGCACTAGATAAGTATGTAAATTCTTCCCTCTTGATAGCTTTCTTCAATTTGTCAGAATCTTCACCTTTGTGCCATGGACTAGGTGTCGAGAAAATAGTTTCCATGTGGCCACCCCGTTGTGTCATGTGCTGCTTTGCTCCTAAATATGGGTTAACTTGAGAGTTTAATGGAGCTCGGCATAGAACTAAGTTTGGGTTAAATATAACTAGGATCAACAACTTCCAATTCGTCATGCTCGGCGTTTCATGCATTTTCATAGGATTTTTCTTCGAACATTCTCACGAACCACATCGGTGTCCTAAGTTGTAAGACAACATATCCAATGGATAGTCCCCACAGTAGTCCACATCCATAACCCATCAACCCGGTCTTCCAATCCAATGCATCCGGATGCATGCTTTCGACAGAGGAAATCCGCATAACTCCAAGTTACCAAGGTAGGATTCATCCTTAAACGTAGTAAAATTGTTCCCTTGGGGTATAGGACCCGTAAGGCGGTTCTCTGAGAGGTTTAAGATCGAGAGGGATGTCAGGCCTGCCAACTCTGAAGGAATCACACCGGCGAGCTTGTTTGAAGAAAGGCATAACCGTTCAAGCTAGGCAAGATTCGTGGTTGATTGAGTTATAAAATCTGTGATGTTTTTGTGAGAAATGTGTAAACCTTGAAGCAAAACAAGCTCTCCAATGGTCCCAGGGATTTCCGTTTGGAAATTATTATTGGACAAGTCAGATGATTATGGAGGCATTCCATATTTTCGCCAGCTGGATCTCCATTCCTTTTAATATCATTGCCGCGGAATCTATAAACGGGTTCATAAAAAAATGGAACTTCTAGAAATGGTTAACATTTGCCTAGTATGTACAGTAGATCATCTTGTCCAGTATCTGCATCCAGCATTGCTTAAAATTTGAGATGTACTCGGTAGGAAAAGCATCGGTGAAGTTAATGTTTGACAGGTCCAAAATTCTCAACATTCGGAAGTAATGATCCGTAGTAGGACAGTTCACTGTGCTAGAGAGTTCATTTAGCCTGAGAATCAGAACTCACAATTGAGGAAGGGTTTCCAACCCATCTTGGAATGCACCCGCAATCTTGTTGTCACTGACATCTTGAACCTGCAACATCGTGCAGGTTGCTAAAGATCCAGGCAATGGGCCCTCCAGTTCATTTCGGTTCAAATCGAGACTCCTCAATTTACATTTCTCAGCAATGTCCTCCGGGATCTTGCCCTGTAAATTGTTCATGCCAATGCTTATGACTGAGAGAAACACGTGGAAACTCACCAAACATGGGGGAATCGAGCCATTCAAGCTGTTGTTTGACAAGTTTAGGACATCAAGATAAGTTGCAGTATTGCAAACTGACATCGGTATCTCCTGTGAAGTTATTATTTAAAGGGTTAATACCACGAAAAACCCTAAACCGGTACACTTGTGACACATTTACCCCAAATTATTTTTTTGACCATAAAAAACCCAAAACTGGTACACCTGTGATAATTTTACCCCAAACATACCACAAAAAACCCTAAACTGGTACACATGTGACAATTTTACCCCGAACAAATTTTTAATATTATTTTTTTGAATTTTTTTGAATTTTTTCTTTTTTCTTTTCTTTTCTTTTTTTTTCCTTCACCTTCAACCTCTGGCCGGTCGCCGGTCCGGCGACCGGCCAGAGGCGAAAACCGGCGAGGGCCGCCCTCGCCGCGCGGCGAGGGCGACCCTTGCCGTATCGGGCGAGCGCCGCCCTCGCCGGTGTCGGGCGACCCTCGCCCGACGCCGGATTTGGCAAGGGCGACCCTCGCTGCCGCTCGGGCGAGGCCGTCCTCGCTCGCCCGTGGCAAGGGCGACCCTCGCCCGATCGGGCAAGGGCGGCCCTCGCCCGACGCAGGCGAGGGTCGCCCTCGCCAGATCCGACGTCGGGCGAGGGCCGCACGACGCCGGCGAGGGCGGCCCTCGCCGGCTTCCGCTTCTGGCCGGTCGCCGGACTGGCGACCGGCCAGGGTTTGAAGATGAAAAACAAAAGAAAAGAAAAGAATAAAAAATAAATAAAAATTCGAAAAAAAATATAAAAAAATAATATTAAAATTTTAATTCAGGGTAAAATTGTCACATATGTACCAGTTTAGGGTTTTTTGTGGTAAGTTCAGGGTAAAATTATCACAGGTATACCAGTTTGGGATTTTTGGTGGTCAAAAAAATAGTTCAGGATAAAATTATCACAGGTGTACCAGTTTGGGGTTTTTTATGGTCAAAAAAATAGTTTGGGGTAAATGTGTCATAAGTGTACCAGTTTAGGGTTTTTCGTGATATTAACCCTTATTTAAAATGAAATAATATGTAATTTGGCGGAGGCACCGGAAGGGGTCCTTCAAACCTATTGTCAGACAGATCAATTAATGTTGATCTTGTCCCAATCCTCGTGGCCATGGCTTGAAAATTTTCCAAGTATGTTCAAGGCAATTGACCACCGAAGTCATTTTCAGCAACACTAAACAAAAGCAACAAAGGAAAGGGAGATTTACTCCTGAGTTCATCAATGGTACCATGGAATTCGTTTGCCCTCATATGAAGTTTAGCTAAAAGCGGCAAAGTTTCAAGCCAATGAGGGCAAGAATCGCTTATTTAATTATAACTAAGATCTAGAAGGACTAACTGGGTCCAGTTGGCCAAGGATGGCGGTAATGCCCCCTCAAAGTGATTGTTGCTGAAGTCCAATGACCAATGGCCGCTCGAGTTTCCCAAGCACTGAGGTATGGTGCCACTGAAATTGTTGTACGACAAATCTAGGCTCTGAAGTGAACCCAGAACACAAAAAGAAGATGAATCTCTCCGCTGAAACTGTTTTCGAGACATAATTGGTCATGGAAGGTGGAAGATAAGCGGTCCTTGGAGAAGGTTATCTTCAAGATTAATGTACTGCAACACCGTCCATTGGAATTGTTGCAGACTTCCCATAATCAAGTTGCCCAACAGGTCCAAGCGTTCCAGCGTGCTCTTCCCCGCCTCCCAAATCCATCTCGGAAAACGATTGGGAAGATTGTTACCAGAGAAGTCCATGTATTTGAACTATTCGAGTGGTATTCAAGGCGCTTCGTAGTTCCTCTAGGTCGAACTGTGTTTGGTCACCACTGCCCTCGACTGGTTTGTTTTATACAATGTGAAAGACCGAGGAATTGAAGAATTTTTTAGCTTTGGGAGCATTTCTAGGTTCGATGTAGCATCAAAGTTGTACCCCGAAAAGTCCAAATGATCAAGCTGTTCAAAATCCAAGAGTGACAGAGGGATCAAGCCAGACAAATTGCTGTTGGAAAGGTCCAAGTACCTTTCAAACCATGAGCATTTTGAGAGAGATCGAGAGATACAAGTTTGGAAAGACAAGACATCTCACTAGAAATGAGACCATTAAAAGCATGGCTAGAAAGGTTTTTTTTTTTTTTTTGATAACCGAGGTGTCCGCGCGGCCGGCGAGCTAGGGCTCAAACCAGCGGTGATGCCCGACTAGTCCTCGAGGGGGGCTAGCGCAGCATCCCACCGCCACGACCCCCTACTTAAATCACCGATGGGCGAGTTTGAACCCAGGACCTCTCGTGAAAGTAACTGAGTGCAAACCAACGCGGCCACCGATGGGTGGATAGCATGGTTAGAAAGGTTGAGGTGTGTAATTTTGAAAAATTACATAAGTCGTGAAAGATTTTATATTTTTAGGACATCTATTTTACACTTGCGAATATATATTTATTAATCAAAAAATGAAATTTTTATGTGATGTACTTTTTAATAGCTTCAATTACGTTAGTGTTCCATTTGCATATTCTTATCAGTCGAGAAGTTTTCACTTTTTATGTAAAATAAGTAAATAGTAATATTTGTACACGAATAATTACTACATTGTACCTACCAATTAAAGATGTGAGCGAGATAGTCTTCTCAAATTAGAAATTAGAACATCATCGAACCAAAAGAAAAATCTATGTTACGTACGTTAATGTTGGCAGTCGAGCCTTTAGTCGAT